GAGGAACTGGTATGCTGACTCAGGAGCCACGGCTCATATCACCTCATCAGGAAACATTCTTCAAACCTCTCACCCATAGAAAGGAGAAGACACAGTAATGGTTGGAGATGGGGCTTATCTACCTATCACTCATGTGGGATCCGCTGATATCACCTCTCAAAAAGGTACAATAAAACTGAATGAAGTGCTAGTATGTCCTACCATTAAAAAATCTCTGCTATCTGTATCTAAACTCTGTGAAGACTACCCCTGCGGTATCCTCTTTGATATTAATCATGTATATGTTATTGATCTTGAACGTCAGAGAGTTATCAAAGGGTCACATAAGTAAAGGTCTCTATGTGTTGAAGAATCATGAGGTTGTTGCGTTCTACTCAAACCGTCAAGTTGCAGTTTTTAAAGCAACATGGCATCACCGTTTAGGACACTCAAATATCAGAGTTCTTCAACAACTGGCAATCAGTAAGGAGATATCTATCAATAAGAGCAACACTCTTCCTGTCTATGAGCCTTGCCAGATGGGAAAAAGTAGTAGATTTCCTTTTATTTCGTCTAGTTCCAGAGAGTTGAAATCCCTGAATAAGATTCACTATGATTTATGGGGCCCTTCTCATGTAGTGTCTAATCAAGGCTTTCACTATTATGTAGTCTTTGTAGATGATCATTCTCGCTTTACCTGGTTGTATCCACTTCAATACAAATCTGAGTTCTTCAATATGTTTGTTACATTTAAGAATCTAGTGGAAAAACAATATGACTCAACCATAAAGGTATTCCATAGTGATGAAGGCGGAGAGTATGTCAATCAAAAGTTGAAGCAAATTCTAAATGAAAGTGGCATTCAACACATCATGTTGTGTCCCTACACTCCAGAGCAAAACGACATTGCAGAAAAGAAGCACAGACACATCATTAAACTGGGTCTAGCAATGATGTATCACAGTCATTTACTACTCAACTACTAGTTAGAGGCATTCCTTATGGCAAGCTACATTAGCAATCTACTACCGTCTGCAACTCTGGATAACAAAAGTGCCTATGAAACAATTCACCATAAGAAACCAGAGTACACACATCTGCGTGTCTTTGGCTCAGCCTGGTATCCCTCTCTCAGACCTATAACTACAAAAAATTTATCCAAAGTCCCTGCTATATGTCTTCCTAGGCTACAGCTCACAACACAAGGGATACAGATGTCTGCATCCTCTAACTGGTAAAGTTTACATATCAAGTCATGTGACTTTTGATGAAGAGTGTCTACCGTTCAAGAATCAGTATAAGGATATAGTCCCACGCTATGAAACATCTCGGCTGAAAGCATGGCAGAGTGCAACTGGCACTGCATCTGAGGAAGAGCCAACTCAGATCGCTAGATTATTACCAGCTCCAACACTTAAGTGCCTCAGCCAGCAGAGAACATAATACAGCCTGAACAAGATCTTGTACCTGAGGAACATGCACCAGTCATACAAGAAGAGCAAGTTCAGGTTGAGGTTGCACCTAACCTACATCCTATGCAAACAAGGTCCAAGTCTGGGATACAGAAACCAAACACACGCTATACGCTTCTCACATCAAGAAACACTAGCAATAAACCCAAGAATATTGCTGAAGCGATGGCACACCCTCTCTGGAATGCTGCAGTGATGGAGGAAATAACAAACATCCATACCCTCAACACATGGACTCTAGTTCCATATACAGAGGATATGAATGTTATCACGTGTGGATGGATATATACAACAAAGCTAAGACCAGATGAGACAGTAGACAAACGCAAAGTCAGATTGGTTGGTAAAGGATTTGGTTAGGAGGAAGGAGTAGATTATCTAGAGATATTTAACCATGTGGTGCGTACAGCAACAATATGTCTAATGCTCAGTGTTGCAACATCTAAGGGTTGGAGTATCAAACAGATTGATGTAAGTAGTGCATTTCTCCATGGTGAACTAAAGGAGTCAATGTTTATGCGGCAACCTGAGGGATTCGTTGATCCGACTAGACCCAATCATGTATGTCGTCTGACCAAGGCTCTCTACGGCCTTAAATAGGCTCCCAGGGCCTGGTTTGATACCTTCAGCAATTTCCTAATAGAGTTCGGCTTCAGATGCAGTAAGTCAGACCCATCTCTCTTTACTTACCATCACCAAGGCAAGACGATGATACTACTTCTTTATGTTGATGATATATTGCTTACTGGAAACAATGAAGCTCTACTAAAGGAAACTCTTCAAGCTCTAAACAACAGATTCGCTATGAAAGATCTTGGTATACCCAAGTACTTTCTAGGTATTGAACTTGAAACCTATGCTGAGGGGCTGTTTCTGCATCAGACAACGTATGCTAAAGACATACTTCATCAAGCAGCAATGTCAGACTGTAATCCCATGCCTACTCCACTGCCTCAACGCATTGAGGATGATGAGTCTGAGACATTCCCTGAGCCTATCTACTTCAGAAGCCTAGTTGGAAAACTGCAGTACCTGACAATATCTAAACCATATATACAATATGCAGTCAATTTTGTCTGCCAAAAGATGCACAAGCCATCCATGTTTGACTTTGGTCTTCTGAAGCGTATTCTGCGATATATTAAAGGTACTCTCCACCTTGGTCTGCACGTCAGGAAAGATAACAGCTTGCGTCTCTCAGCCTATTGTGACAGTGACTGGGCAGACTGCAAAGAAACAAGGCAATCAACCACTGGATTCCTGACTCTACTTGGTCCAAACTTGATATCTTGGTTGGCTAAGTGACAGGAGACAATATATAGATCATCTACTGAGCCAGAGTATAGAGCTCTTGTTGCCACAACACAAGAAATAACTTAGATGTCCTTCCTTCTCTGAGACCTTGGCATCGTTCAATCTGAGGCAACAATGCTACTGTGTGAAAACTTGTCTGCAGTTTACCTAAGTGCTAATTCCACCTTGCATAAAAGGTCCAAACACTTTGACACAGACTTTCACTACATTCGTGAGTAGGTGGCACTGGGACTAATTGAGAAAAAACATATCCCAGCTTCCTGTCAGCTTGTAGACATTCTGACAAAGTCCTTGCCAAGACGACCGTTTCAGAAGCTAAGAGACAAGCTTGGTGTTGGAGTTCCTCCCACCTCAAGCTTGAGGGGGAATGTAAGACATATGGCCCATGAGGCCCATCTCAACTCTAGCTCTCCCGTCAAGCTCACTATACATTTGAAAACCTGCAAAGACAAAACAAAGAAGGGTACGGTAAAGCACAAACGGCTATGCTTCAATTATTTTGAACCTCTTTTGTCTATAGCTGAAGACGAGTCACCGTGACAGACTGTGTAGATAAGATTAGAGATATCTCTAGATCCTTCTGTAATCTCTTTATAATCATGTAATCTCATCATTATCAAGTATTGAGAAAAGTATTATTCAGTAACTCAAATAGTATCTTTGTATTTCTTCCATTGTTGAAGACGAGACACCGTGATAGGCTGTGTAGATAAGATTAGAGTTGTCTCTAGATCCTTCTATAATCTCTTTATAATCATATAACCTCATCATTATTAGGTATTGAAAAAAATATTATTCAGTCACTCAAATAGTATCTTTGTCTTTCTTCCGTAGATCTCAATTCAACTTAATGTAAATTATAACTTTAACTAAGTGATATTTATATAGGAAATCATTGTTAAAATATCTCAAAAAATATACTAGACTTTCTTCTCTTGGATCTATTAATTTGAATAAGTGTAAAAGAAGAAAATGAAAATAAACATAAAATAATAGCTAGTAATTGCTCAGAATAAAAGAGAAAAAAGCTTCAAGAGAATAAAAAGAATATACAAGAAAAGAATTGAACAATGACAAACATTTCCATCTTTGATCTCTTTCCTGCTTACTGCAGGTAAAAGTATGTACTATGTAGTATCCTAGACTAATAATAATCAACCAAGCGGTAGTAGTATTTTTGGAATGGTTAAGTGGATAACCAAAGTAATTTGCGTTTGTCAAATTATATTTTGTCATTCGAAATTACGCCACCGTAGCCTCAATCTTGCAACTTGTGTCATATTGATGCTGTATTGATTGTACACCAAGCAAAGCAACAAATGAAGTTACGTGACTCCATGATATCGTAAAATAATTAAAAGTTTAATACTATTAATTAAATGAATGATAGAATACGCTAATGACATTTGAGTAGTTCTCAGCCATCCATTACAATGCTCTAGACCCTTCGCTTACAATTTCCTGATTTGTTAATCCAACTAAAAGTCTAAACCACCCATTAAGACGATCATTATCATTACAGCGCGAACCAAAAATTTTAACAATCATGCAACTCTACGTGCGTCACATTCGGCATCGCCGGATAATTTTCTTTATTTTACACTCTTCAAACTTTTCCAAATTGCAATATTCATCTTCATAAATTTCTTTGTTCTTTCGTATTTTGCCATATTAACTCATTTTAAGAACCTAAAATACAACGAACAAACCCTTTTTAATATGTAATATAATATTATAGCATTAGAAAATAAATATAATATGTTCAAATATAGTGATTAATTAGCTGTTTAGATCGTCTAATTGGGTTCGTAGACCGAATTAATTGTTCCCGGAAAACACTGTATTGTTAGGGAATTGATCACCGGAACAAAGCACTACTTCTACATTACATCCACTTAGTTTATGTTGAATGAAAAAGTATTCATAAGAACATGGAATTGTGGAAGAAACGTTCGATAATGTAGGTGTGAATGTGATATTCACTCCAATTACAGAAAAACCTCAAGCAGTGACACGTGGCGGGTTCAGGTGGACAGATATAGCTCTCTTTTTTTTTTTAAGTTGCAGTTCACTTTTTTAGATGTAGCCTCTCAAGTAGTGTAGAGAGCCAAGTTAATTAATCTATTAAAAAATTTCATTCTACCACAAAGGTAATACCGTAATACCTTTGTATGTTAATAACTAATAAGTTAATTAAAATGGAGGTAGTTCAGTAATTGATAAGAAGTACTACTTTTAATTTATCTTTTGTCAACATACAATGTCTTTAACAAGAAGTATTCGATGTATGGAAGTTAAAAAACAAAATAATGTATCAGACGTATTTCAGATTAATAAATTGGAGAAATACGTAGAGGACAAGAGAAGACACCCACCACGCCTCCTATATAATGAGAGCCCAAGCTCGTGAGGTAAGTATACCGGTGAGGCTGAGAGTAAATCACTTACCAAACAAAAAAAAAAATTGAGTGCAATAGCTAAGAATTTGGTCTTTGTGTTTTTTTCTCCAGAATTTTATTTTCAAGCAAATTTCCCCTTCTTCTGATCTGTTTTTTTTCCTCCCCCATTTCTTCGATCCATACCTGTTTTTTTTCAAAAAAAAAAGAAGTTGTATTTGAATGGTTTGATCAATTATTTACACAAAAAACAAACTTTCGAAATTTCTTAAATCTCAGAACAGAAAGATCAATCTTTTTTTTTTTGATTATTGATCTTCTTGCTTTTGTTTTACATAGTTTCCCAGGGTATTTTTTATTTCCCTTCTTTAGGATCTGCAAAGAGGTTGTTTATTTCAAATCTCTTCGATCTATATATCATTTTCGAATTTAATTTTTCTTTATATAAATTTTTTTTTATATGGCAACTACAATGGATTACTACAGTAACCAAACGTTTCAAAAACAATCAGATCCTTTCGGTGGCGAATTAATGGAAGCGCTTTTACCTTTTATCAAAAGCCCATCCACCGATTCACCCGCGTCAGCGTTTGCGTTTGCGTCTTACCCTGACATCTACTCAACCCAACCAATCCCATACGTGTCTCAGACACAACACTCTTTCTCAAACCTCCTCACTCCTAAACCGGTTCCAATGAAGCAAACCGGTTCTCCACCTAAACCGATGAAACTCTACAGAGGAGTTAGACAACGTCACTGGGGAAAATGGGTCGCCGAGATCCGTCTACCGAGAAACCGAACCCGCCTCTGGCTCGGAACCTTCGACACGGCGGAGGAAGCAGCCTTGGCCTACGACAAGGCGGCGTATAAGCTCCGCGGCGACTTCGCGCGGCTTAACTTCCCGAATCTCCGAGGAGAGTTCGGGGAGTATCAGCCGCTTCAGTCCCCCGTCGACGATAAGCTCGAAGCTATCTGCAAGAACTTGGCCGAGACGCAGAAGTCGTCGTCGTCGGCGAAGAAGAAGAAGTCGTCTTCTCGGAGACATTCATCCGCCGCCGCCGCCGTGAAAGAGCCGGAGGAAGTGAAAACAGAGGATTACTACTCTAACGTAGTATCTCCGGAGAGCTATGGATCGGGAGAGTCTTCGTCGTCGCCGTTGTCGGATTTGACGTTCGGTGATAGGGAGGAGGAGGAGGAGGGGCGGTGGAACGTGAACTTTGCGTTGGAGAAGTACCCGTCGTACGAGATTGATTGGGATTCGATTCTGTCGGCTTAGTTGGTTTGTAAATTAGTGGAGGTTATAGGGGTATTTTAGGGAACTAGAGGTTTCTGCAATGGAGTTTTTGGTCATTGCATTGAGACCATAGTAAGTAGGTGTGGGGGTCTTTTATTAGTATTAAGTGGATGTAAATTACTGTTAGTCTCTGCGTCGGTGGAAGCTGGATTTTTTTTGTCATGCTTCACACCCTGCGAGATTTTTCTTTATGTACTTTGTAGTTTTACCCTTGTCTTAATTCCAAGTGTGTTTTTTTAAACTAAATCAACTTAGTGTTTTAATAATTGGTTTAAGCAATCGGTTTATTATACAATTTTAAAATCGGCCAAGAAATTGGTAATTACGTCTACAATCACTAGTTCCATACGAAACATTTAACTAGTGCCAGCGATTTCTTGAACATTGATCCAAATACGTACTTTTGTAATAAGAGATACTCCACTTGTGTAATAATTCTTCTGGTTGTAATATGTGTACGTGATGATGCTATGGAATAATTAGATGCTCTCTCCAATGTAGAAATAATACAAATTTTTTTAATTCATTAATACAGATTAGATATATGATTAGTTTGTTTAGCTGATCGCGAATTTCAATTTACGCAAGAGGAAAACAAAAAAAAAATAGAGTTCCTTACTCACCTCACCTTTTGTGACCACGAAAGGCTAAGTTCATAATCACGCCTAGTGTCCCTTTAATTTCAATTTTCAAACTATGATTATATGAAAATAAGATTCCGTAAAAACAATTCTCATTGTAAGCAGTCATGTTCTTGTATGCAGTGGTAGTTTTATATAACAAAATGAGCTCAGACGATGATGTTAGGAAGAAGAAAAACCATTTCGCATGAGCCGGAGATTGAACACAGCATCATTTTACCTTATGCCAGAATAAGAGAGATACATAACTGAAAGTCAAAAGTTGTGGCCACATTCTCAAACCTAATGTCTAACTGTAAAAACCCGTTCTTGAGATTCTCCAGTCGCTCATGATCCAACAAGGTGTGGAGATATAATATATATGGAGTATAAAAACAAAACTCAGTTGAATTTACCAATCTCCATTTTTTTCTTAATCGCTCGTTGTCCATGATATATGAACGAGTCCACTATTCCTGATACCGTGAAGATACCTCCTACTATAGCACACACATTTGTTAGGAAGTGCAAGAACTCCACATGCTGCTCCTCAAATATCACCTATTCAAACCAATCAATCAAATTAGATGGGGTTTACAAAGAAAAAAAAAAAGATTCATTAGTTTTTTAGTACCAAGAGAACAGACCTTGATTGGGGACAGATCATAGTAGAAGAAAACACCAGGTGGGGATTGCATACGACCTGCTTCCGCATTCTGGAAATGTTCTGTCACAGAGAACTTTTGCCAAAATAAAAACACAATTCTTTACATCTTTTCAAAGTTAAAAAATGAGGTTTTAAACAGAGAGAGAGAGATATGGAGATGTAGCTTCCTCACTTGGTTTGACTGAATAGTATTCCCGTGAACATCAGTGTATATGGTTGGTACCACCTGCACAATCCCATTTCATTATCACACTATCTCTCTATAATAGTACGCAGAAGCTGAAGTAAATGAAGAACAAGCCTTCCTCATTTGTCCACAATCCTCAATGCCCTATCTCTATCAGTAAATTAAGCTAGAAATGAACCATTTAGGAACCTCACAGATACCTCCTCTTCAAGAATGATATATATCTAAATAGTAACAAAATTAGGGGCTGGCAAACCTTGATGAAATATTGGTACACTCCATTCTGTTTATCCTGATTCCACTGCACCCTGAGAGAACCAATAGAAATGATTCAGAAAACAGGCTCTCTATAATGAGTTTGGGGGATAAAGAAAGGAGATTTTACCCATCTAGAGGGTTGACTACACCGGGGAAAAAGTCCCCAAAGGCTAAGCGGTTGATCTTGTGGCTAATCTGTATAAAAAGTGAAAGACCAATTTGAAAACTGAGTTATATAAAGAGAGAGACTGAAACAAAATTGGAACTTTTCTCTTACATTGTAGTTGCCTTGGTGGAACATTATCATATCATGAAACTGAAAACCGGATTGATGAAAGCTTTGTCCAGGAATAAAATGAAAATTCCCAGCGACTTTGTTAACTTCCACGAAACCGTGAACGTTACAACCTTCACCTTCTTCGTCTTTCACCTTTTGCACATAGCCTTCTCTTTTACACTGAGAGATGGAATTTAGTTTAAAAAAAAAAAAAGTTTCATACTAGTATTATATCATTATATGTGAAGATAGCTGAGACGAAAGATCATACATGCTAAGATCAACCGAATCAATCTTTGTTGCTAGTAAAGGTATGTTAGTAATTACCTGGTCGATAGATTCAGGGTCAGAAAGGCCCCAACCTTTCTTTCGGTAAGCTTCACGAACTTCCTCACATGAATTACAACAAGCATCATCCGTCTGCAATATGTGTTAAGAATAATTTTAGCAGCACAGAAGAAACAAAAAGGTAAAAAATATGGTGAAGATGTAGTAGTAAAAGAGAAAGGTGAAAGGAAAGATTATAACCTCTTCAGCTCCAAAACAAGAACCGCAATACGTTTCATTGTGCTCCAACCTTCCACCATGTTTCTGTAAAGGTTTCTCAATCTGAACAAAAAAACGATTATCATTAGAAACAATTTGAAAAAATGTTCAATTCAATTTGTAAAAGAGTCAACAAAGTAACCTTAGTATGACCGATGCCATCTTGTTTGGCCTCGATGAGATTGCCATGAGAGTCTAATCTTCTTTTAAATATATCATGTCTCTACAATAAATAAATATAGCAGAATCGAAAATCAGACAAACTAACAGTAAAAGATGAAGAAGAAAGCAGGAGGAGAGGAGGAGAAACGAACGACATCAAGGTGCCTCTCTCCGCTGATATCCATAGTATCAATACTAATAATGGAGCATTGAAGCGCAGGGAATGTTACATCAAACTGCGTTGTATATATGGGGTAAGTAAGTTTGATAAATGCTTCCTTGAGAGAGAGAAAGAAAGTAAAAGGAATATTATTACATTGATGCGTAGCTTCTCTCCTCTTGTTGTATCCACACGGAGCTGCGTCTCCGTCACCGGGTGCATATAAAGCCCTTAATTAATAAAATAAAATCAAAACTTTAGCAAATTGATTTTAACATAAGTAGTAGTATTGAAATGAAAGCACTTACGAAGCTCGGAGAAGAAGAGAATGAGCATGACGAGGGAAGAAAGGAGGGTGATGAGACCACCGGAAAGAGTCCGCTTGTAGAAATCTTCATTGATTTTAGGGTAAGCGTCCAGATTCCTCAGCCTCTTCATCAATTCCCTCCTCTAGTCTCTAGTCTCAAGCTAGGGTTACGCTATTGGTTGAATTCAACGGGACAAGGAGATGATTCTACGGGTTATCCTATCACCTTATAGATACTCTCTCTCGATTGACCTCTACTAGATGCGGTCGTCAACGACGATCTCTCTCTCTAATCTATTTTCTCGGATTTTTCTTCTTCCAAATTAAGGCAAGAAGAGAGAGAAGAATCTGTAGACGGAGCCGGCTTTACGCTACTTCTCCGACGTCGTTTTGTCTTTGGGCTCTATTTATATTATTCAGGCCTCTGATATCTATTTGAGTCAAATCCTCATATGGATCGTGTTTTGTTTTTTTCCCCTCATTTTAATATTTTGCTTCATTTAATAACTCAAGTAAGTCGACAAAAAATATTAACTCAAGTAATCGTCACATTTTTTCATCTTGTTTTCCTACTTTAATCTATTCAAACTAATTTTTTTTTATTTACATCAACTGCAACTACATAGATTCTTTTTCTTCTCGACAAAAATAATGGGGTGATTGGTTGGGATTTAACTTATCACTTTAGCTTTATTTTTTTAAAATCACTAATTCTTACCAATCATGTCGTAGCTTTAGTTTTCAAAATTAAAATCTACAGCAAAACTTAAAAACTTTTTTCCAATTAGAATGTAGCTTTATTTTTTAAGATACAGCCAAAAAGATAGAACTTTAATTTTTCTATTTGTTTTAGATAAAAATTAGATCTCGACCCGCGCAACCGCGCGGGTGTTTTTTCAGTTTTGTAAATATATATATTCATTTTAGTTCATTAGCGGTATACAATTTTAACGTTAACCATAGATTTAAATATTGATATACCTATTTCAAATATAATAATTTTATAGTTTATATGGTGTAAATAATCAATAGTTTAAGACCATCACATGTATTTGTCGTTTTTTATTATATATTTATGTTAATGTATTTTGATTTAGTTATTAAAAAAATAATATATACACGAAACAACATATTTGAAAATTATTTTGTATCAAATTTATATTCAATTCTGATCCGCCATATTTGTTCACGTTTATTCATTAAATATACATATTCTTTATATATACAAAAGTCTAAGATATGTCAATTTTTGTACATATATCATATACTTTGCGAATGTTAAGTCGTTATGTCACTATATATTTTTTGCATAAATATTCTATATTTATGAAAATAAAATTATAAATTTATCAATTTAATATAATTTATCATATCTAATTCAATATAATAATTTTATTTTAACATGAATTTATTATTATAAAACAAATGAAAATAAGATATAGTTTTCATGTTTCATTTTATAAATAATAACTGAATATATATTAATGCATAATAATAGTTCATTGCTAATTACAAAAATATTTAAAATATTTTTATAAACTTCCTGAAAATTAAGATATTTTAAAAATATGTTTCAACAGATTTGTTAGAAAATTTATATTCAATTCTGGCCTGCCAATATTTTTTCATGTTTATTCATTTAAAAAACATATTCTTTATATATACAAAAGTCTAAGATATGTCAATTTTTATACATATATCATATAGTTTGCGAATGTTAAGTCGTTATGTCACTGTATTTTTTTGAATAAATATTCTTATTTATGAAAATAAATTTATAAATTTACCAATTTAATATAATTTATCATATCTAATTGAGTATACTAATTTTATTTTAACATGAATTTATTATTATAAAATTGATGAAAATAAGATATAGTTTTCATGTTTCATTTTATAAATGATAAATGATATATATTAATGCATAATAATAGTTCATTGCTAATTACAAAATTAGTTAAAATCTTTATATAAACTTCCCAAAATTAAGATATTGTTAAAATATTTTCTAACAGATTTGTTAGAATTATATATATATATATATATATCTTATATATTAAAATAAAAAAGATATCACGATTAAAGTAGTTACAAATATTTTATACTATTAGCTTTAATGAAATACATGTTAATTTTTATACATTTACTATATGGTTTGCGAATGTTAACCCCTATTACCAACATATTACATTTTGAACATGAGTACTTCTAAAAATAAAATATATAATTTATCATATTTAGTTAAAATTTATTCTACATTTTATAAGATATATTAATGTATAATAATATATTAAAGCTAATTACGAATTATTAAAATATTTACTCCGAATTGTTGAAAATTAAAATCTTGTTAAAATCTTTTAAATAGACTTGCTAGATATTTTCTTAAAATATATTTATATTTTAAATGAAAAAAAAATATTATGATTATGAGATTTATATTTAAATTAAGTGAATATTATGTAAAATTGTTTTGATATTCTTGTTGCAACTGATTTATGGATTTGAATCCAGAACAGTTTGATGAATATGTGGTATTCTATGTACATAATGTTGTACCAAGAAATTGTAAAATAAAACTGGCTAGTTTAACATTTCTTTATAGGTGAAATGCTTCAAGAGTATGTGTAAGAGGTGGATCATCACTCGATAATATATATAACGTGTAAGTGAAAAAAAACAGAGATGTTCAATCTTAAACATGCATAGAAGTTTTCTGTTTCATTTCAAGTCGTGTCCAGTGTATTAACAGAGTCTAAAATGTATTAACAGAAGTCACAAACAACTCACCTTTACAACTCACCTTTACACGATGATATATTGGTTTGATCATTAAGTTAGAATATAAGGAATCGAATATTGGTTTGTAAACCGACCGGAATTTTTGGCGTATATTAGGAAATATAGGGAATGATATTAAGGCATATTATTAATAACAAATGAATGATATATAACTGATTTCTAGAAAGGGTCCAAAATTTAAAAAATCACACATGAAGTCAAGTCATGACTTCTGTTTTAATATATAAGATTCTACATCCTTATTATTTGGGCTGTAGAAAAAATAATCTCATAGCTGAAAAAAAAAGAAAACTACGTGCTCTTTTTCATACGACATACATACGTATATATATAAGTCAAATATTTAATCTATTGAAAACAATGATAATCATTGATCATAAACTAATTATTTAGAGCCATATATTTAGTATATTCAACAAATGGTCGATTTTCGACAATATATGGAAAGTTTTCGAGATGATATTGTAATGAATTTATGGAATTTTCGTAGATGAATTTTATTATTATTATTTATATGGTGTTTTTCCTTTGACTTTTATTTTAGATGGTTTTTATTTTATTTTGAAATAATTTAATAAATTGTTATTTTTAATATAGAAAAGAGTTTTTTTACAGCTACGGTACATTTTATCCAATCATGTTTTATTTTACAAAAGTACAACCAATAATTTACAGCTATAATTATCATAATAACTACATCAAAATCTCTGCAGAAAAATCTATTTTAGTAAATATACAGCTACATTCAATACACTTACAGTACAACTTTTACAGTTAATTTTTTACAGTTAAAGTCCAACCAATCATCCCCAATAAATATAAATATCATGTATTAACTCAAGCACAATTCACATGATCAATTAGATTTTCCCATATCAAATTTATAAAATAAAAATAAAAATGTAAAAAAAAAAAAGGAAAAACAGTCTTGGTTATTAACTAATTTCTATTTATTTAATTTCAAGGTAATGTGAAAATTCAAAATTATCTCACACTAGACCCATGATCCCACTATCTTTGAGACTATTTTTTTCTACAGATAAAATTATTTCACAATGTCCTAAATCTAATTTTATTTTTTCTTGCAAATAGAAATGTGGATCTTCAAAATCTGCAACGTTGCATCTCTTAAATTTCAACTTCTAACCAGATAAATAGTTTTGACGAAACAATGTCACAACGATACTCTGAAGATTTTTTTTAAAAAAAATGCGAGAAAAGAAGAATACAAATATGCTGTTGATTGATAGACTTGCCGCAAAGTTGGAAGATAAAGGTTAAAGTTCAGGTTAGTCATGAAACTAAAATGTCTATAGTCTCCATGCTTAATTTTTCTTCATCAACTTTGTTCTCTTCCAATCTATTTATAACTTTTTTGTTCCGATTCAAGATTTATAGCATATAAAAAAAAGATACATAGCATATCTGTTCATGAGACAACAAAAGGAGTTTAAGAAACTCGAGTGATAGAGAACACGAGAAAGATTGAGGTCTACTTTCTAGATCTACAAAAAATAAGACATATTTTAGTTGTGTTCTATGCAAGAGATGTGATTTCTTTATATTTAGTTTTCCTATGTAATGATTTTATTGAGGTTTAGGAAGAGATTATAGTGTTCATGTGTTCATACTGGAGATATAAACAACAAGCTTTTAATTTTCTTTAAATTTACCAATAAATATAACCTTTGAAATAACATTTATATTAAAAATCATCTTAAGTTCAAAAATAAATTTGATAAAAAAAAATTATTATTTTTGAAACTTATGTATGTTGTATTAATCAAATAGATTACAAACAGAAAAACATATTTAATAAATCAAATTTTGAATCTTGCTCTCTCATGTTTATGTGGTTTAAAAGAGTTTTGGTCCTTTGGAGTTTCCCCCCCCACCCCCCCCCCCACATTATTCTGTAGATATTGATTATTCATACAATTTACGTAAATACCATGTTACAGAATCTGACAATTTGTGTTGAAATATATGTCGCTATCTGGATTCGAGGCTACGAAATGCTTGTTACAGAGAAAAATAACAAGCTAGTGCTTCCACAAAAATATATCGTCATGATAATAGCGGGTCCTTAGAACTGAACCTACAGATGGAAAGCCATGGGCCCATTATATTCTTTCTTTAAGGCCCACTACAATCTTATCTTACGACAAGTATTTATATTTATATACCCAAAGTAGAAAATGTGGTTGACAAAACTGAGTTGTATATTGGTTCATTATTATCTTATATATTAAAACAGAAGTCATGACTTGATTTCATGTGTGATTTTTTAAGAAATTGACTATTACTAGAAAGTCATATTATATTAACT